GAAGGATCGCCGGAGCCCAGCAGGTCGAGGCTGCGGTGGCCGGGAGCGGCCACTGAACTCCAGTCTGGGTGACAGAGTGAGAACTCCAATTCAAAAAAAAAAGAAAAAAAGAAAAAAGAAATCGAGACTATCACTCACCATATACAAAGATCAACTCAAGATGGATTAAAGATCTAAACAAAAGACCCAAAACCATAAAAAAATACTAGAAGAAAACATAGGGAAAATTCATATACTTAGCCATTCGTTTATCATCTTTTGAAAAATGTCTATTCATGCCTTTGCCCATTTTTAGTAGGATTATTTGTGTGCTTTTTTGTTGAGTAGCAGGACATTGGTCTAGGCAAAGAATCAATAACTGAGACTTTAAAAGCACAGGCAACAAAAGTCAAAATAAACCAACAAGACTTAATTAAACCAGAAAGCCTCTGCTCAGCAAGATAAACAAGCAACAGAGTGAACTGACACCCTGCAGAATGGGAGAAGAGACCTGCAAACTATTCATCCAACAGGGGACTAATATCCAGAATATGCAAAGAACTCCAACTACTCAACAAAAAAAGCACCCAAATAATCCCACTAAAAAATGGGCAAAGTCCATGAATAGACATTTTCCAAAAGATGATAAACAAACATCCAACAGGTATATGAAAAATGTGCTTGACAGCACTAATCATCAGAAAGACAAATCAAAACCAAATGAAATGTCATCTTATCCCAGTCAGAATAGCTATTATTAAAAAGAAAAAAAAATAGCAGATGGCGAGGACGCGGAGGAAAGGGAAGGCTTACACACTGTTGGCGGGAATGTACATTACAATGACCTCTACAAAACAATTTGGAGATTTCTCAAAAAGCTTAAAAATAGAACTGTCGGACAAGTGTTCAAGTGAAGGCAAGACAGCGAACGTGCTGCATCTTTCCGCGGCTGGAGGCAAAGATTCCATCATGGGCATGAGAGCATCCACAAACTAAAAGATAATGCAGAGAAGCAGAAGGGCTGTGGCTCTGGCTCCAAAAAGGGCTCCTGAGTGTGAATGCTGCGGCTTTTGACAGTGTGAAGCAGGATGGTGATAAGCCTGGGCAACAACGCTGTGTTGAAGGCTGGATTCTCTTTGTCACCGGAGTCCATGAGAAAGTCACTGAAAAAGACACCCACAACAAATTTCACAGAACACTGGAAAATTAAAAACATCCACTTCAGCTGGGCTCAGTGGCTCAGCCTGTAATCCCGCACTTTGGGAGGCTGAGGTGAGTGGATTGCCTGAGACCGTGGGCTCAAGACCCACCTAGGCAACTTGGCGCGACCTCATCTCTACAATAAATCAAAAAATTAGCTGGGTGTGGTAGTGCGCGCCTGTAGTTCCAACTATTTGGAAGGCTGAAGCAGAAGGATCACCGGAGCCCAGCAGGTCAAGACTGCGGTGGCCGAAAGCGTGCCACTGCATTACAGTCTGGGCGACAGAATGTGACTCCAATTCAAAAAAAAAAATCCACTTCAACCTTTACAACCTTTACAGGTGAACAGGATACCTGAAGGGTTCTGCTCTAGTTGAGTGTGAAACACACCAGGAGCCCAGGCTGCTATGGAGGGACTTCATGGCCAGGATCTGATGGGACCCCGATCAGCATTGACTGGTGTTTTGCCTGCTATTTGGGGAACAGGCCACCTGAGACCCAGTCTCCACCGCTACACAATATTTCCATGTAACAAGCACATGGCCAGGTGTGGTGGCTCAAGTCTGTAATCTCAGAACTTTGGGAGGCCGAGATGAGAGGATTGCCTGAGGGTTCAAGACCAGCCTGGGCAACATGGTGAGACCTCGTCTCTACAATAAATCAAAATATTAGCCGGGCGAGGTGGCGCGTGCCTGTAGTTCCAGCTACTTGGAAGGCTGAGGTAGAAGGATCGCCTGAGCCCAGTGGGTCGAGGCTGTGGTGGCCGGGAGCAGCCACTGCACTCCAGCCTGCACTCCAGCAACAGAGTGAGACTCCAACTCAAAAAAAAAAAAAATCACACACATCCACCCTGTGAATCTAAAATAAAATGAAAAAAAAACTTGCACATGTATTCCATAAATCTGTACAAATTAAAAAATAAATAAAATATTTTTAAATAGCAAAAAGAAAGAAAGAAACTAAGACTCAGAAAAATTAAGTGACCTGCCCAAGGTCACACAGTCACTAAGTGGTAGGACAAGGTGTTAAGGTATCAAAGGTCTGATCCCCAAACTGATGGTATCTCTACCGTGTCTTGTTATAAGGGTAGGAAAACAGGAAGTTGCCAGCCAGAAAAAATTATTCTAAACTCAGAAGAAACACTAAACTGACAGGGTAAGAGATTACTAACTACAGGTTCCATCGCAGCCCTCTTTCTCCAAGGATGCATAGTCAAATGGAGTCTTGGAGAGGATACCTAGACAACAGAGGACTTGCCAATGACACCTGGGGGGTCTGGACTTGAGTTGTGTCTTCGGTCACCTCTCCTCTTACTTCTGGGCAGACCCGGAACAAAATACCAGTCAATGCTGGTCAGCTGTTCCGTGAGATCCAGGCCCTGGAGTCCCTCCATAGCATCCTGGGCTCCTGGTGTGTTTCACACTCAAGTAGAGCATAGCCCTGCAGGAATCCTATTTGCCTGTCCAGGTTGAGGTGGACAGGGGAGGGAGCAGGTCATGTCCTTCTTTGGGGAGTTGTTCATCTGGTGCTGGGCAGACAGGCTGCCCCTCTAACCTGGGGAAGCCGTGGCAGGCGGGCACAGTGACCTCCACCTCCAGACTTGATTTCTGCACTCAGTGTCCTTCTGGAAGTTCCTGCTGGGCATGGGAGTGTAATCAACCTTTTCACAATGTACCTCCCTGCCCCCAACAAACAAGGAAAGTCAGTGCCCGCCTCCCTTCTTCTGCAGTGTCCAGGCAAGCCCTATGCCCGGCCCTGACCCTGGGAAGTTGTGAGCCTTTATCTGTGCCTCTCAATGCCTCCTCCCTGGTACCTTCCTTCCTTTCTGATTGTTGATCACAATGTCTACACTTTTGGGGGGGAGAAAAAAAGTGGGATGGGGAGGGAGAAAGAGTAAATTTCCAGGAATTGTTTCGCTGCTACTGTTCCTACGGCTTAGAGCAAAGCCGTTTGCCCTCCTCGGTGGGGCTGGCGCAAAGCCTGGCCTCCCGCCCCTCCCACTTTCCCTTCCTCCAAGGCTCTCTTTTTCCAGCTGCTCTCCCTACCCTAAAAAAAACCTCCACTTGAAAACTGCAGAGCTGTCACTTATTTCTTCCTGAGAGAGCAGCTTTCCCTCTGAGCTTCTGCCAGAAGGAACCACCGTCACTTCCTCTTGCTGTAAATACACCCTGGCTGATGGGTGTCGGCGGGGTCCGGGAGCAGGTGGAGGTGAGGCTGCAGAGGGGATGTCTCCACGTGGGAGGGAAACTTCAGAGACCCAGGGAACACGAGCCACTCAACACAGTCTTGAGAGGAACGGAAATGACCACAGGTGTGGCCCATGTGGAAGGGACAGAGACCAGACAATTATCTTCCTTGGAGGGTGCTTGGTCTCAGAGAGGCTCCATCTGCATGGGTCAGAGGCATGAAGAGGAAACAAACATTCTCAGACAGCACCTTACTGGAGCACATATCAAGGTGCTAGAAACTTCGACCCTTAAGAGGGAGAGTGAGACTGAAAACTCAAAGCCAACCCCATTTCAGGCTGTCATGGTTCCACATGACAGACTTCTTGGTCTAGGATGGTCTGGGTTGTGGGTGGAGGGTTTCAGAAAACTACAAGTTAAAGATAATCTCCCACGGAGGAGGACGGTGGTAATGGTTGCATAGCAATGTGAGTGCAGTCAATGCCACTGAACTGTACATCTAAAAATGATTAAGATGATAAATATTATGTTTTATATATATATATATTTTTTTTTTTCTTTGAGTTGGAGTCTCACTATCACCCAGACTGGAGTGCAGTGGCCACTTCTGGCCACCGCAGCCTCGACCTGCTGGGCTC